GTGGAAATTGGAGGAGAGAAAACTTTCAAAAGAATGAACTTATAGGCTGAATCAAAAGTGTGGTACCAATTTATCAAGAATTCACTTAGACCAACAACACACAATGAGGCTGTCAACAGAGAAAGGCAAGTTTTGATTCATTGCATTACTTGTGGTAAACACATAAATATGGGAAAAACCATTGTGCAAGAGATCCAGACTTGTTTCAAAAAGAAAGATGGAATGATGTACTTCCCTTGCTTGATCCCCAATATTTACAAGAGGCATGGTGCGCCTCAGAAGGCAACTGATGAGGTTTTTTACCCCAGGAGGATTTTGATAAGAATTATATTCAAACCATGATGAAACCTAAGGTAAAAAGAAGGAAACCGAAGGAAAAACAGGAGTCAACAGATGAGGCAAATTTTGAGACAAAGCAAATTTTGTGGAAAGTGCCGTTGCAGATGCAAAAAAAATAGAGAGATTTCTTTAAATTTTCAAAGGACAAGTTTGAATGGGAAAATAAGCTAAATGAATGGAACGACAATGATGAAGCTGTGCTAGTTTTTCCAGATCATATTCTGGGAGAAATTGATGAAAAGAATTATCAACGTCTAAAAGAATACATGTTGAAAGAGAGAAAAAGAAGAAGAAGAAGACAATGTCCCCTGGTGCGCATGGAGCGTATAGCTCTAGCATGCCTAAGGAGGACACCACTGAAAAGCTTAGGAAGAAATCCAGAAAGAGAAAGCACCCTAAGCAAGTGAAGACCGGAGACGTGACTGAAAAGGTCCTAGAAAGTTAAACTGACAAGAAAAAAGCAAAAAATGATGATGACAATGCTGATGAGGATGCAAGAACATTGAAGGAGCTGATAACACAAGCTGCTAAAGACAAAAAGGAATTGATGGATGATGCACCTGAAAAGGTGAAAGGTAAAAAGGTTGTGAAAGAAGAAAATATTAGTGATGAGGAAGCTAAATAGCAGGAAGAAAAAAAAGAGGCAGAAAATGTTCACAATGCTGATGAGGAGTTGAACGGAAATAAGGAGGCTAGAAACGACTTGAATGGCCAGCAGGAAAATGAAGAAATTGTTGAAGAGGAAGAAAAGGTTGCTGAGGAAGAAAGACATTTGTCTACAAACTCACACAAATCTGAGTCTGCAAAAGAATCTGACGAAGAAACTAATGTTGATGTGACACTACTTGTCACTCTTGAGAAGGTGAAGAAACTAGTGAACCCTAGCACGCACGCCCCAACAAAGGTGACTCCGAAAAATAAATCCCCTGTAAATAATAAGCCTTTAAAAAAGCCAAAATATCCTCCCAAGAAAGTTTAGTCTAAACCATTAAAAGAGCCTGCAAGTGTCATGATGATAGCTACCTCTAAGGCACCTAAAAATTCAAAGAAAGAAGTTGTGCAAGAGCCTGCCCAGAAGGAGGTCAGGAAAAAGAAAAAGGAAGGCCATGCTTTGAGGAAGAGAAACAGGCTCAATGCCTAGCTAGTATTTCTCTTGTGGCATGCCCCATTTCATCAGATGACAATGAGGACCCTGTCCTTACTCTATGTCTGGGGGAGTGGCTGCCTATGTCATGACCTTGCCCTTCAACCTTCCTAGTCTTTATTATCATTTGATTTTCTGTTGCTGATTAAGATCTGTTACTTTTAGGTTGTTATTTTTATGTTTTGTTGTTGTTGTGGTTTGGCTGTAGTCAGCCACATTTTAATTAATGAAAAACTTTGTTTGTTTTGGTTTTAATGTTATGATGTGTTAAACAATCACATATAATAATAATAATAACAAAGAAAACAAACTGATTGCAACCCCTTGAAAGACAAATAAATCTAAGAAACTTAGGAAAAATCTAATAGGGCAGTGACATTATTGGAAAAAACCTTTGTGTGCTAGTCAATTGCACCTTCTTGTGTTTCTGATAATTCCTGTCGCGCCTTGAGTATTCAAAAAAACTAAATAGCCTAGTGATAAATTTGAATTGTTTAGAATGTGGAATGGGAATTCACTAGAAGATTTAGTTAGGGGAGGAAAGTATTGTCGTTTAGGATCTAATACAATTGGACACATTGCATTGCATAATAAAAACACCAAAGAGTGTGAAGGAAGTAAGCCAGAATTCACTTCTGAAATAAGTTCTTATGCCCGAAATTGGAGGAAAAAAAGCCTTGAATAAATTCTTGTGTATGAAACTGGAGGAAAAGCGGATGCATCTATCCTTAGTAACAGGTCAGACTCATTACAAGTGAGATCCCTTCAGGGGAAAATATAGATCATCTACTTAGCTTATCAATAAAAATGCAATTGTGTCTCTAAGTACAAAATTCTGAAACTAGATAGTCAAAATCCCCCCTGCTGAAACTGAAAGTTGAAATATTGGAGCATAGGACAAAACAAACAAAGTTAAAATTAGGCTTTCTATCTTGACTGAAGATTCTTGGTGTGACAAGTAGCACCAGTAATGCACATAGCGCACACACACACACACACACACACACACACACACACACACACTTATGATCTAGCTTCAGGGCTGAGTTGTACCAAATTTGAAAATAAGTCATTTGAGATGAATTTTGAGTTGATAATGAGTTATGCTAGCTAGAAACATGGTTGTGTGGAAGAGAAGTTTCTCTGTCGTTGACTGTCGCATCATATGAGGACAAACAATGATTTAAGTTTGAGGGTGTGATAACCCACCTTTTGTGAGTTATTATCGGCCTTAGATCTTTCAATTTCTTAGTTTATTTAACATTTTATTAAAATTTATCCTAGAGCACAATAGGTACTCCCTTTTGTTGGTTTAATATTTTTGTTGCTTGAATTAAGGATATATCTGATGAGTTAAGGCAAGACTGTGCTAGATAGCACCTGAGAGCGCTAGTTGAAGTATGATGATGGAATTTACCAAAGAGTTTAAATGAATAAAGCATCTGAGTCCTAGGGAAAGCTTGGAAGGAAAGCAATACTAGAGGGAAAATTGTGCTTGTACTGAAGGAAATTCATTTGAATTTATGGATAAGATCAAATAGGCACTAGAAGACAAAAGTAGTACAATTGTACAACCACCACTATAAGATCAACCACCACCCCGTGCAGTCTGTCGCAAGACACTTTGTCTCCCACAAATGTTTCCTTGTACCTGATTCCTTATAGGCTAAGCATAAAGAATGTTGAGGAGAACGCTGAATTGATTATTGGGCTTGATGTGATTTCCTTAATGTTGGCCCATAATCCAAGACACCTCAAGAAACCCTAGTGGAAGGTTATAAATAGACTCTGCTAAAGATTAGAAAAGAGAGCTCACAATTCCAAGAATACTAGACAGAGCATAATAGTGTCAGGTTAGAAAAGAGAATTCTTCTTCTCACCATCATGTACCAGTTGTTGAGCCTTGGCGCGTCTAGAGACATCTTTGGCTGAGTACCCTCTTAGGGAGTCTTCAAGTTACTCTTAAATTTATATTTCTTTTTCATTATCTGTTTAAGAATGTATCTTTTAAGAATCATGTCTGTAGTTTGTACTCAACTCATTATGAGCTAAAATTTTGTATGTTGAGCAATGAGAAGTTAATGTTATGATGTTTTTATGTTAAGTGAAATGTTATCTAGTGTCTTATTTTATTATGTGCTAACTTGCTTATAAATCTGATTCTTTGAGTGATCAACTTAGAAAAAGATAGCAACTTCTTGTTGTGAGAGATCCAACAACAAGTGGATTTCATAATAAATATAGTTGAAATGAGTAAGATAGAGATATTCACTTGATTAGTTCACTTAGAGATAAGGAACTACAATTATAAAGAATTTCAGAATATAATAGACGTATTTTAGGGTTATAAGTGTGACTTAGAGGTTTGCTTCCTTGCCTTAATAATACATATTTTGATATTGTAGAAATACACTCTTGGATCACTCTGACTTTTCCTAGCACGACACTACACTTCATGAACACATTGTTACATCATTATCATTAATGGACCATAACTCAACATGCACTCTCTTGATATTATTTCACACTTTGCACTATTATTAAATCTGGTATGTAGAGGAAAGATTGAACTTATGACATCCGTCTATTATTTTTATCCTTGTTCATGCTTAAAATTAAAAGTTAAAACAATACAAAATCAATATTAGTAACATTCACTCCCTGTTGGTACAATATCCTAACTTTCTATCACTTGCTACTTTTAAACATACATGTATACTTGCATGTGACACATTTTCAAGCAACAAGTACTTGCATGGTTAACCCTTTACGAAAATATTTATACATTGGATTTGTCGAAATAGGATAGATAATGAACCTCTGGTCGACGTAGAGTGGTTGATCCCGGATCGTTAACGAAACACTTATAAATACAATGCAAACAAGAAATTTAATATTTAGAGACAATATCTTAGTCCAGTTTTTAATGCAATAACTCATTTCTCGCTTTTCTTTTTTTAAAATACAAATGATGCCCTAATTATAGAGATCCAAAAGAAAAAAAAAACAATTTTTTTTAACAATATGAAGAAAGAGGCCACAATTTATCAAGATGATTCAAACAAACATCCAATATTTTCAATTATAAATGATTGATATTATGCTCAAGTGGTTGCACATTTTTATCTCTCTCTCTCTATTCACTCAATTGTGACAAACCTTTTTGTTATTAATTTTTATCACTAATTAAACTTTCTAATCAATGAATGATTTTTTAAATAAAATATCATTGAAAAGTGTTGTGAATTCAAAAGTTTGATAATTAAAGTTAACTGCAAGATTATATTTTATGGATGCTTTATCTATATCTAGCAGACACCTTTTCATAAACTGTTCCTCTATTTCTCTTTAGCTAAAGTTAGAGAGCTTCCTCACCACCATGCACATAAAGCTCAATTTACATTTACAATAAAACACAAAGGCACCAGAAACAGAATCAGAAAATAAAATTAAATAAATAATTTTTTTTCTAAATAACAACTGGCATTTTCTAAAGCATCCCAACAAAATCCACCTATCAGAAACTTGAGAAATGATTTTGAGAAGGTTGAACCATTTGCATGTCTGTGGTTGTTTGGCATGAGTTATCATCACTCATCATGCTCCTGTTTCAATATCCAAAAAACATTGATAAAAATAATTAAGCATAATTAAGCAGTTTTTTCAAAATAATTAATTTAGAGTAGATTTAACTTACTCTCGTGGTCTTGATGCCCAAAGAGAACTAAGAGCTCGAAGTCGACCGTAATATTCTCCGATGACAAGAAAAGAACGCGCAGCTTGACGAAGTGTCAGTAATCGACAAAGTTGGTGAAGAGTTTGTTGCCTCAAATAATCCGCCTTTAATTGAAAAACATGAATAAGTTAACGATTATGTTAGAATAACATTGAGAAATTGTATTTTTAAATATACTATAGTACTAGTATAATAAGCATGTTGATGATAATCACTTTCATAAACCAACTTTTGAATGAAACATTTTAAGATGGAAATATTACATCAAGCTTTTTGAGAAACATGATTGAACAATTTGTAGCAAAGCAAATTCATTAAATAAACTAAAGTATCATTGTATCAGCACCATAATTGGAAAGATTGACTTGACAACAAAGTAGTGGTGGAGGAAATTTAATATCAACATATCTAATAATCATTAATATAAATCTCTGTTATTATTAATTGTGTATACGAATTAAACTCGCGTGCGGTAATATACCTGACGAAGAAATCCTTCGAGGTTAGAGAGCTTGCCCATGGCGACGACCATTTGTTGAACACCGTCAACCAGTGGTCCTCCAGCAATGGTGTCAACAAGAGATTGTTGCAACTGATCAAGTCCTTGAGAGAGAGCTTCCTCAGCTTGCTGTGTAGAATGTCTCAGTCCATACATTCCCATTATTTGCTGCTCAGCTAGTGGTTCCAATTGTTGGATTAACATCTATCATCACCAAATCGTAATCAACATTAATCAAAACATTATTATTTCATCAGTGTCAGTGTCGTGTTGTGTTTCTGGTGTACGTGCTTAGTACGAACCGTGATAATTTCAGAGGGTCTAAAGCCACCGATCCAAAGGAAGCAACGTTCAGCTTGAGAAGTCCACATGCCATTGATAAGATGAAAAACATCTGTTTTTGCGGTTATTCCTTTCACTCTAAATATTTGATCATAATGACATAAATATCCATCTACCATGACTCTCATTTCATTCTCTGTTAACGCCGTTTGTAATCCGTTTCTTAACTCCGTTAATAAACGGTTGTCATCTTCTAACCATCTTCCATATTCCATGTCAAACATTGCGCCTCCTACATATTCAATATCATATATACTCTATTATATATCTTGGAAAATGACATTCTTTTTTAATGTTACTACATTTTAGATAAGCTCTTACTTCTCAACATTAAATTATAATATCAAACATTGGACTATTCTATTTTTTATATAATTCAAACACGGGTTATTATTTATTCATTCACAGATTTTGAAATGTGCACCCAAAATCATGTTTTGACTTTTACTTTGTCAAATTAAAATTAAAATAAAATTAAAAAACTCACCAGAGCTAATATTGCCACCAACACCACCATTCCAATCCATGAACATACCCTTTAAAATCAAAAATTAAATACTAGTAATTATCAGTAAAAAAAGTAATACATTTTTTTGAAAGTAAAATAACTATATATTATATAACAATATTTGAATTTAGAACCTGAGATCGTGCTCTTTGAAGGTCTTGTTCTAATTGTGTAAGCTTTAATCTACTTGACTCTAGTTGCTGAACATAAGCCTGTAAAAAAAATGCAATGAGTATTTTCACTATTTTTCATTTTTACTTTCTATATATTTCTATTTTCTAGAACTATATATGTATATCTATATGTATATATAGGACACACAAACCTTTTTTCTAAGACGACTTTTCCTTGCAGCTTCCCTGTTTTGTGCTAAACGTCTCAATGTCTAAGGACAGTACAATTTTTTTGACTTAGCTCAAAAAATTTCACAGAATCATAAAAGAGACAAAAAGAAAGAAAATTAAAACCTTTGCATCAAGTGGCTTATCTGATGTGGAACCACCTCCCTTTTTCTGCAACTCAAAATAAAAAATATTCAAAAATTTTGTTCAAAAGAAAATAAAAAGATATACACAAATTCAAGTGTAGAACAACAATGCTACACTTTTAAGTTCAATCAAGAACAAAAGATGATGGAGTGAATGATATTAGAGTTTGCTCACTGAATTTCTTTGTAGCATTTCAGAATTTTGAAGTCCATTCGACCACTTTTCAAGAGAAACACAATCATCTTCTATGTGATATGGATAGCAAAAGGCATCATTTTCAGACATTTTGCTGTGTGTGTGAGTTTTTGTTTTAGATTTCAAAATACTCACTCCAAATTTGACTTGTGAGAGAGAAACACAAGTTTTCACTAAATTAAGAGAAGAGGGTCACTTTTTATTGTGAAAAAAACTTTGATAAGTACCGAAAAGATTCTCCTTTGTTTTTTTGTTAGTACAACATAACATAATATCCTTCTCTCTCTCTATCATGTTTTCATGTCAGAAAATCGTTCAGGAATCAGGAAAACTCTGTGTTCTTTTGATTTTCTGAAATCTGTTGGGATCTGTGCTGTTTTTATTTGAACAAGATATATGCAAAGAGATAGTACAGATTCAAAACAGTAGTATTAAAAAAAAAGACTAAACTTTTCCTTAGTTTTGGGGATATGGAAAAAGAGAACACTGAGTTAAGTGATTATTAACACTTTAACCTTTTCTTTCCCGGCTTCTGCTGATTGATTCTGTGATGAAGAGGCTGTTCTTATACCATCATTTGCTATCATCTTCTGTAGATTTTGTTCATCAAAATTCTGATTATGATTATTATTATCCGATGAAAATGAAGTTCCTTTTTTACAACTTAATGGTGATTCTTCCTCAAAAGGATTCTCATTTTTGCTTGATAGTGCTGAATCACTGCTTTCCCCTCCTGATTTGGTTCCTCCCTGTAATTACTCATACAAATAATTTCGCTTCAAAAATTAAAATTTTGTCTAATATCATCTAAAATATTTCTTAAACGAATCGAAACGACAAGAGTTAAAAGTATTATATAATTATACATGTTTGGTATCACAAACATTGAAGTATTGAAGTAATATGAAGCATAAAATAGATTGGTCAAAGAAAGAGTATTACTATTGAAGTTTGATGGAATCTCATTGGCCAAGAAGGGAACATTTCCAGTGTAGCAGAAGGTCTGGCTGTGAAAAAGGCTGCAAAGAATCACAAAAGAAAAATCTGAGAGGATCAACAAAAAATAAAAGCCTTTAAAAAATTTCACCAAATTAATAATAAAAATAACTTTTTTGAAGAAAGAAGAAGCTAATCTAATAACTTTATCAGCAGTTATGGAGTCAGTAAAATGATGTAAAAGGAAAATGAAGTTCCCATGTCTATTGCCTCAGAATCATTATGGTATTGGAAATGGTAAAACTCCTATCTATGCATTCTTTAGAAATATTCAAACCATTGCTTTATTTTTTTCTTTCTCTCTGCTTTTAGAAAGAGTTGGTTATGCTTATCTCATGTCAGAAAAAGTTTTATTTGATACAAAAGGAAAAACTTACATGCTTTTGTTTCATCATTTCTACTCTTAACTCCTTGCAGAACTATTGCTTCTTCTAGCTCCCCAAAATCAAAACCAGATCCTTCATTCCTAACAAACAAACAAAAAAACAATGAAACAGTACTACTTTTTATTTATTAAAAATCACACAAATTAATTATTGACGAAAACTATTACATTAGACTAGATGAAGAGTTGTTCATCCTATGATTAATTCCATAAGGGACATGTTGATGATGTTGAGTTGAATCCATGCAGAGAATTTTAGACCATTCTCATTTCCTATAAACCAAAATTAATTTACATAAACAAACCAAGAAATGATCATAATATATTCACACATATTATATATAGTTCCATGTATAAAGTAAAGTTTACCTTATAGATATATTTTGTGGAATGGTAAGAATAATGAATAATTAGAATTGAATAAAGAAAAAGGATATATAAGAGAAGCAAAGAAAAGTTGTTGGGTGTGACAGAAAGAGGGTTCAGTCTTTTTCTTCAGATATGATCCTCTAAGCAACTTTTTTTAATCTATCATGGGGGTGTCTGTATCAATTTCTTTTCTCCTTCTCTATGAAGAAACCTTATTGATTAGTCTATATCACACACTGTCCCTAGTTGAATATATTTAGTATTAACAGAAAACTCATTCTTTGGCACACAAGATATTGTCTCAGCATCATTTTGGACTTGTGGGGCTTTAATGGTGGCTCAAATAAATAAATTAAAATTAAATCAATAAGTTCTTAGAAAAGTTAAAATTAAATTAAGATTAAAATTTCAGAAAAAACAAAATTATTATTAATATATTATTTATTATAAAATTGAACATGTGGGGTCTGTTGCAGGAACCCACTAGAATCATTGACTACTACTCCACTTTCTCTCTCTTGTAACCGCCTGAATTTTCTTATTGGTTCTTTTTTGTGGGGCTAAATATTGTACTTGTAAAACAAATTCAAATAAAACAAAATAAAATTAAAAACTTTACTCATGTATTTTCATCTGGGAAATTGGGAACACAATAAATTCAGTATGAGTTCAACTTGAGTTTTCTTTCTCATTAAAGTTGGCAAAAATAAAAGAGAAAAAATAGAAAGATAAAGTTGGTTTTGTTAGAGATAGAAACAAAAAACTTAGGCTCATACCGTTTCAACCAAAACATTACTAGAATATAATAATTATAAATTTAGAATAGTCCACAAGTATTATATAACAACTATGTGTATTTAAATCCTAGTTTTGAGATGGATTTGTTTGGTATTATCCTCTTTGTTGATGGGTCAACATCCACTCTCTGTCTTCACCTAAACCATGCCACCTTAAGATTCTTTTCTCCTTATAGAAATGAAAATCTTGTTGCAGATACCAAATTCATGAAATATGTAGTACATACTTAGGGTAATCATGAAATACAAATATGTGTATACATAGCAAATTCATTTCATTTTCCATCACTATTATTTTTTTAATTTAATTTAATAAACTTTTAACTTAAAATGTCACATGTTTGAATTTATATAATTAAATATTTTTGCACAGAACAAAATATTTTAACAATGTCTCAACTATGAGATTTTCCATCATTATTCTAATTTAGTCAGATAATTTCTTTTCTGATTTTCACAACTAATATTCGATTTACTGAATCGATTCAAAAATTAATTTTGACATCATATAGTTTCAGTCTTCTTCCGATCGCAATCGTGAAATTCATATAGTTAAATAATTTAATTTGCATATGAATAATTAGTATTGTCATCTTAACTCTCAAAATCTTATTATAAGTTTCAAAGTTGGACCAACATTATATATATATATATATATATATATATATATATATATATATATATATATATATATATATATATATATATATATATACATATATATATATATATATATATATATATATATATATATATATATATATATATATATATATATATATATATATATATATATATATATATAAAGAAAGGAAAGAGTAGAGGGAGGGATAAAGGAGACTTTTAGGTAATGGACCCATGAAAGAACTTTATATATATCATAAAGAAGTAATACCTATTATTGCAGGTATAATATGCCTCCTACTAATTATTCTTTTATAACGTCAATCATTGGTTTTAAAAATATTGTTTGCCTCAAAATATATACACCCTCCAATTGGTTAGGTCAAATTATATTTTTATGTATATTAAATTAATATGAATATGTATAAGCTTTGTTCCCAATATACCTTACAATTTATTCTTAATGTGGGGGTGTCTTTAAGAAGATTTGATTTTAGCTTTAGAGAATAATAGGTGATTCCATGAATGTGTCACTCCCTTGAGCCGTAATTCTTTGAGGTTTCATTGTCTAGAAAGGTGAAATCTCAAAGTTGATTAATCTTTCGTTGATTAATATGTTTAACTGTTTTGTTAAGTAATTGTACGTGTCGACAAAGAGTGTAACTAAAAGTGCAATTTTTTGTTTAGGAAATTTACTGTGGTGGTCATAGGTAAATGGGTTTGCATCTTGGTCTAAATTTGCATGGACAGAAACATTGAACAGTTGTCAACATTGTTTTTGAATTTTTTTTTTTATAGGTGAACGGTCTTTTGTAGATCAAGTAGAGGTGTCATGTATAGGAGTTAACATTGGATTAACAATTCATATATATTGACAAAAATTAAGGTAATCAATGATTGGCAATGGACCCAAGATGCTTGCAGTTATCAATGTTGTAAAGTTGTACTGGTGACACTACTTATTAGAGGAATATGACAAATTGCCTCACTCAATTTTTATATAAATAGGTTGTTAAATATGAAATTAGACAATTAGCATTAAAGAATTTTACAAACCAGCTCATTTTCTTTTTATCTGGCGAGATTTTAGTGGTTTGATTAGGAGAGGGGTTCATCCTAGTTTTTTTTTCTTTCTTTTACATCAAAGTGGAAAACTCTTTTTTAGTGGATTTTTATGTAGATGTCATTTTTATTTTGACAGATGCATTGATTGATAATCTTTGGATTATTAATCAATTCTCTAAGCTTTTGTAGTTGTTTATGGACTTCGGGTGAATTTGTTCAAGAATAGCTTGATCTGAGTTAGTGTATTTTAGATTTTATGAGAATGAGAGAAAGATACTTGTATTGTAAATAGGATTTTCTTTCGTTCAAGTATTTTAGACTATTATTTAGTGTCAATACTCGTAAGTAAACTTGAAAATCTTTTTTTTTTACGAATATTTTCAAAAGACTTACTTTATGAAACAAATATTTCACCTTGGATGAGAGAGTTGTTCTCGTAAACCAAACCCTGCCTTTAAGTTAATTTTCATTTTTCTTTCTTTTCTTTACAAAGATGTTTGATAAAGTTTAAAAGAGTTTGGTGAGACTTTAAATATGTTTAATTTAGGGTTGTGTTAAACAAATATTAAATATTTCTTGAGTTTGTATGTTGAAAGTTTTAAGCTGAATGATGAGGAAGATTTAGGTGTTTGTTGATCGATCTTTCTCCTATTTAAAGCGTATAGAAATTTAGTGGTTGTGTTAACAAATTATCAAATCTACGAAGAATGATGATATATTGGTATATTTGATAAAGGACCACAAATGATGACGTAGGAGTTAAGTGATGCGACGCCTCGACCATAACGTCGGCCTAATCGTCCATATTTTAGATCGACTGCCATTTACTAGATATGATGTATCTTACTCAAATATGTTACTCATTTCTAAGATAACTCGCCCGAAATGGGAATCGTGGGAAGTCATGTATACCTAGTTCATACCAGTGTGGAAGAGGTTTGAGGGGAAATAACCGCGATCTCCTAAATAACAGGGGATTAACTGTCTTCCCATACTGTCATACCCCAAATTTGTCATACCTTCATTTTGCAGTTCATTTTCATTATATTCATATGTCATTACATTTAGTCATTTGCATACACTCAATCATTGTTTTCATCTTATGATTTTGATCAATGCACATAAGAATTTATCTGCAGCATTGTCTCATGACCATTTCATATGGTCATTGTCATCTCCTAAATTTTATACTAAGTTTTTCATCTACATCATCACATGATGACTATAGCATTTGGTTATTAAGTTTCATTAGCATACATTAGTCAAAGTTAACATAAGGAAAAGTCAACCATTTAACTTATTCTTTTGGTCATTTGCATTTTTTAGTATACATCTAATTTCAGACACTTAGGTCTCACCCATCAACTCATACAAGCACATTAGACAAAGTATTATATGTCCATTGCATTTCCATTTTTATGTTCAATTTTTTCACAACTATGTCTTGGCTCTCATATTTCATTTTCACTTCATGAGTCATGTGTGTCACTTATTTGACATATGTTTTATTCTACATTTTTGTTATTTAAGTAGTTCATTTACAAAATACTTTTGAATTGTACAACAAAAGAGGAAGAGCATTTGAGTTCTATCGCAAATGTATATCATTTCCAAATATTTCATCAATGTTCAAAGAGCATATGTGTGTATGTCTAAACTTTGATACAAGTCATTTGAGCAAATAGAATTGAATATAATTTATTAATTATTCTATACATAAATTGTTCAGTCAGTATGTATTATTTACATTACATATTTTTTTCTCATAACAAGTACATAAATTAACAAAAAAAAAAGGACACAATAGATGCACCATCATCTTCATGCCTCCTCTATTTCCCGAGCCAACATCATCACCGTTAACATCTCATGTCATGCCATCACTTCGTCACCCATAAGCCACGCTTCAACGCAACACAATAACATCACATACATAAATTGACCAAATAAGAGAAAAATAAAAGTAGCAGCAAGATACATACTCTATACCATCACATACATACATCATACACAATTTTGGGTATCACAGCATACCACTAATTCACACGCAATGGAATAACAAACTTCTAGAAAAGTGCAAATTATTTTCAAACCAAAATCATAAATCAATTTCAAATCATTTTTCTAACCGTTTCACACACTTGAAAGGAGAGACTCACACGAGTCTCAATCCTAACCAATTTTAAATCCTTTATAAAAGCAAACCATTGAATGTAAAAAATTCCCTGAAAATAACTCTGTAGAAATTCTTCATCGCTTAGTTCGCTTATAGATTAATTCCCCATATGAATTAACCTACGTAAGCTTTAAAGCTACATAATTTATGTGGATTTCTAAACCTAGTCACTATTTTTACCTACAGTAAAAGCTCAATGTAACCTTAATCCTAC